TATACTGTGTATTTTTGTTGTTTATCAACCTTTACCTTACCAAACGTCCTAACAGAGCAGAAGTTCCTTGTTAGGCATACTAAGAAAAGTGCTGGGCTTGGAGGAATCTCACCAGGAATCTGGGTACCTGCAATCATGCAGATGTGACATTCCGAGTACATTTCTCAGACCTGAAGAAGAGCTCTCTATAAGCTCAAAAGTTTCTCTCTCACCAACAGATATATCTAGATAGATAGATATGTATGCACTACAGTTTGTCTAGGGATACTTGTTCCCATTCTTTAGAAAATGTAAATGACGCCTCAATCAAGTTTGCATTTTGCAAAAGATGAAAAGCTACAGCACAAGGTTAGTGATTCTTTTTGTTTTTAATGAAACATAATTTAGCATTGGGAGAACACAGTTGTGGAAAATAAAAATAACTCAGAGGGCACACAGATTTTCTTCCACGTCCTTAGAGCTTATTGAGCAATTTCAGGCTTTCACTTGAGCAACAGCCTTTACATTTAATTGTTTCAGACAGCTTTCAATCCTGGCATTTCTGGATAAAAATGCTTTTAATAGACATATTAAATCAGTGATATGCTGTATTTTTAAATTAAAGTACCTAATTACGCTTCAGCAAATATGCCAAAAAAAATCAAAAGTATTTGAAAATTTTGATTGGCTGTGATTGCGGCAATAAATGGCAGAGACATTTTAAAACTTAAGGTTCTTTCTTTGATAAAGACCAGGCCTTGCTGGGAACCCCAACATCATCATGTTGAGCTACTACCAAACCAGAGACATTTATTGCACTCTAGGAGCCAACATTGACTAAGGGTTCTTATTCCCCAAACTTTCAGCTAGAGCTTGGACCTGTTGCTTACTATGGCACCTGACCACATAATACATACTTACACATGAGTAGTCTTACATGAGTAGTCCTGTTGACTTCAGTGAGACTGCTCATGAGTGAAATCTGGACATTGGTGTTTAGAGTGTCTCTTGGTGTTCCCTTGCTTGCTTCCAGAATTTGGAAACACCTGCACCTGATTGGTAGGAACAGACTAAATTATTTAATAGTAAAACTAAGGTTGTTTGTGGTTATGCAGAATTTTATGTAATAGATCATATTCTTTCACTTTCACATGCTTTCTACTGGGCCTCTTACTTTTATGCTTCTCTTCATACTCTCTCCTAACCATTTCATTTATTGCCTTTCATGCCAGCCTTTTTGCTTGGAAAAAATATCTAATCCCCATGCATCAAATGTCTTCCAACTCCTCCCTCAATTCCTTCTGTAAAACCAAACTCTCTCTCTTCCTGTTATAATGTTGTATATATGTGCCTCCATTAAATGTTCAATATTGATTTCTTAACATCAAAAGCAGAGTAAGAAGAAAAAAAAAACCTACTTATCGTCTCCCCAACAATGTCTTCATTCTTTCTTGCACATGAATTGTTTTTTTCTGTATAATAAATTTCTCTGACTTAGGGACATATTCTGCTTTGATTTATACCCCATTCATGGTATGTAAATCAGTGCAAAATGTAAACCTTAGTTTATAAACTCCTTGGGTCAAGGACTCTGTGTGTTTTAAAGCACCATATACTTTTACAGTGCTATATACCTAATAATTTTGCTAACTTTGTTTTTCTTTTACTAAGCTGGTATAGACTTGGGTCCCAATCCTAAAAAGACTTTGCATATGCTGTACTTCACATACTTAGTTATCCCTGGGACTTCTCATGGAGCATAATGTTAAGCAAATGGATAAATCTTTGCAGAATTGAGGTATTAGTTTGTTAGATGTTTTGCTGACAAGGCTTATTTTTTTTATGTCAAGAAGTTATTGGTTCATCTTTGCCAGTAGTCCCTTGCCAAAAAAAAGTCTGAGAATAGCTCTTTTTGTAAAGCCAGGTACAATATTAAGAAATGGGTCTGATATGGCAGATCAGAAAACCCCTTAAGGAAAAGTGTTAGTATTGGGTAAATATAAGCTGCGCATATTCAAATTCTTCAGAGGGAGAAAAACCATTTGGAGAATTATGGCAAGAGCTCTGCCCCAGTTTGAGTCTTGAGAACTATGGTCAAAGTCAAATTCAGATCTGTTGCACCCACTTAGAGCAGATCTGAATTTGGGACTATATATTACCAGGCATCAATTTTGATTTAAGAATTTTTAAATTATTACAAGGACTACTTATTTCATTTGCCATCATACAGTGGCAATTGCTGTGGACACTGCATTGACCTTTTGGGATTGTGCACATCAGTGTGTGAAAATCAATTGACTTGTGAAATATTTAAGAAATGCCAGAAGTGAGCAACAACACTGCTTAGGTAAAGCACTTCATTCTCTCACATGCAGTGAACATTTTGAATGTTTTATGGTATTGGGATACATCATCTATCTTGTCTTTTACTTTTTGACTTGAGTGCCATGGAATATCATGGACTACATTCAACTCTACATTTAATTTAACTCTGACTTCAGTGAAATTATACCTGCTTACACCAAGCCAAAAAGTGAACATATTAAGATGGTTTTGATGAATTTCCATATTTTCCTGTGAGCATCTACTTTTACCTATTAATACGCAATGGTACTGTACATGGAATCATAGCAATGCAGGACTGGAAGAGACCTCAACAGGTCATCTAATCCAGTCCCCTGCACTCAAGGCAGGACAAAGTAATAACCAGACCATTCCTGACAAGCATCTAACCAGTTCTTAAAAACCTCCAGTGATAGCCTAGGAAGGTTATTGAATTTCTATTTGTTCCAGTGCTTAACTACCCTGACAGTTAGGAAGCTTTTCCTAATGTCCAACCTAACCTTCCTTGCTTCAATTTAAGCCCTTTGCTTCTTGTCCTATCCTCAGAAGTTAACGAAAACAATTTTTCATCCTTCTCTTTGTAACAATCTTTTATGTACTTGAAAACTGTTATGTCTTGCCTCATTTTTCTCTTTTCCAGAATAAACAAACCCAATTTTTTCAATCTTTCCTCATAGGTCATGTTTTCTACATATTTAATCATTTGTTGTTCTCCTCTGGACTTTCTCCAGTTTGTACATATCTTTCCTGAAATGTGGCACCCAGAACTGGACACAATACTCCAGTTGAGGCCACATCAGTGTGAAGTAGAGCGGAAGAATTACTTCTCGTGTCTTGCTTACAACACTCCTGTTGATAGGTCCCAGAATGCTGTTTGCTTTTTTTTGCCCAGTGTTATACTTTTGACTCATCTTTAGCTTGTGATCCACTATAACCCAGAGATCCCTTTCCGCAGTACTCCTTCTTAGACAGTCATTTCCCATTTTGTATGTGTGCAACTGATTGTTCCTTCCTAAGTGGAGTACTTTGTGTTTGTCCTTATTGAATTTCATCCCACTTACTTCAGACCATTTCTCCAGTTTGTCCAGATCATTTTGAATTTTAATCCTGTCCTACTTGCAACCCCTCCCATCCACAAACTTTATAAATGTACTATCTATGCCATAATCTAATCTAATAAACCTCAAATGTTCATGCTTTGGAAATACAATGGTAGTCACCTGCAAATCAAAAGTACCAGATTTTGTATTTTCAATTATATACAAAATGATTTAAAAAACCTACTTCATCAAAACATATCAAGTATAAATGTGCAGCATTACATGTAATTTTAAAGATAGAGCAAGCAAAAATATCTTGTTTATTTTCTTCTAGACTGGTAAAGAAAATAAATTTTGGTTGATGCAAGCTAATCATCACAGCAAATTAAATACTGAAATATTGGATAACTTTAACAGTAATAAACAAATGCATATAGCCTGAAATATGCATTTAAATTTTACATTATTCGATTAAATTAGCATCCTGACAGTTTCGTTTGTTAAACTAAGACTTTGAAATGCACAAGATTAGATTATATGTGAAGCAATTGAGCACAACTGATAACAAAAAAATTAGTGATGCTTGTATACAAATGTGAAACAATCAGGCTCACTTTATAGAAATACCCTCTGTATTAATTGTGTGGTTCAGTAGCAGAAAAGAGCCAAATTATCTGATTAGCATTATTGCTACCTAATAAGTTATCTATTGCATTTACAGGATAGCTCACCTACCATTTCATTAGGTGGCATAACATGATTTAGCATGGGAAGATTATTTTCTCTCCCTGTAACTCATGTTGATGAGATCTGAATATGATGGGATTAGAACTATCCAGCTTCTAGAATTGTATGAAAAAGAACATTGCTTTCCAATTCCCAGTCTGATAGACTCAGGGCCACCAAGAGCGGGTTTGGGCCCCAGTGAAAAAAATTTTTCGGGCCCCCCAGCAAGGGCACACCGGCTAAACAGGGCCGACGAGGGGGGGGAAGCCGGGCCCCCTTCTGGACTGCCGGGCCCCGGTAATTTGTACCGGCTTCCCCCCCTCTCCTCGGCCCTGGATAGACTGTAGCCTGTCTCACAGCTGAGCTCTTATAAAAGTAGTTACAAAAGCTGTTAAATGTTTAGCCCCCAAAAATCTTTTTTTTTTTTTGAAGCTTTAAACTCTTATCAAATAGCCAGTTCCTGGCAAAGACAACTACAGAATACTTCACCTGGCAGAAAGGTTGAATATTTTATTATACATTAAACCTACTTGTCTCCAAATATTAAAATGCACATGTTTAAGATTCCCCAGCTTTGCATACCTTCTCAAACTAGACTTAAGGGCACTAAATTAAACTCATATGGTTCTTCCTTATTTCAAACAGAACTGCTACATTCATTAGATTCTTTGCTATTTTAGCATGCAATGAAATGAAATTCATTGTTTTTAGGACTCATCAGCTACAGCAATTTAGAATTTCCATGGAAAAGTTTGTAAGGCATGCAAAAAAAATTTCCAAGCTAGCCAGTATGAACTAGATAGTCGCCTCTCAGGGCAGGTCTGCACTACAGGGTTAAATCGACCTAAGTTACGCAACTCCAGCTATGTGAATAGCATAGCTGGAGTCGACGTAGCTTAGGTCGACTTACTGTGGTGTCTACACCACACTGGGTCCAAGGAAGAGTTTCTCCCATAGACTTACCTTATGCTTCTTGTTCCGGTGGAGTGCCGTCATCGATGAGAGAGCAATCTGTGGTCAATTTAGCGGGCCTTCACTAGACCCACTAAATCGACCCCTGGTGGAGCAATCACTGCAGCATCGATCCACGGTAAGGGTAGACGTGCCCTCAGAGTGCACATACTCTCTTTAGAGTAAACTAACCTTAATTAGTTTGGTCTTACCCCAATGTTTCACAATTTGTATCACTCTGAACGTGCTATTATATAAGAGATGTGCAACTTGTATACTAGATGATGCTTGTTGGAGCAGAACCCTGAGAAAATCAAGACAAATGTATTTTTTTTTTTAAAAACACATTGTTTAATAGTATCAGTTTGAGAAGTTTCAATACTTCCCTTTAAAAAATTAAACAAGTGAAGTCACAATTTTTCTAATGAGAACAATTCAAATTTATCAGAATTTTAAACATAAATATAGTTTTGGATTATAAGTGCATGTCATGTGTTGATTATTATATAATTAAAAAACTAATTTGAAAATTCTAACCCTCTAAGAGTAGCCATACTCAATACACCAAAATATTTGCAGGCTTCAAGTTCAAATAATTCCTGATACGGGGCGATGCTCTTCCAATAGCTATTAGGGCAAGTTTTTACTTTATTATATTGTAGGTGCTAGATGATCTAGTTTCAGCTTTTATCAGCCTTGTGTACAATTCTCATCATTTCCATGTATCCAGAAACAAATCTGGGCATACTTGAGAGGAGTAATTCGTACTGCTACATTATAATCTTGCTGCACACCATTGACATCCATCCACTGATGACCTGAATAAATAGCAATGATCTTGCGTTTCCATTTCTTCTTGTTTGGCTCTTTAAGGCGGAGATAGACTCCAGAGCCAATAGACCCAGGCTCAGCATCACAGTACTGGTAGAAGAGATCACTGGATTCATCAGACACACTACAAAATCGATAGACCAACTGTCCAGATCGATCATCATCAAAACCTGAGAAGTGGATCATGCTACCAGGCATCTTTCTGATTGTTGGGCTGATTCCCAGCTCCATATATTTCTTTTTGTGAGGGCGCTTGAGCTCAAGAACAGCATAATCATAATCCAGGGAAACATCCCCAGTTACGCCTTCAAACCAGCCTTTTGGGATCTGGGTACTCTTTACTCTGGTCCACTGGAAGGAAGGTTTACTATCAGAGGTTTTCTGACTCCTCCCTGTTGCCTTTTGTTTTCTGCCACGACCTTTGGATCTCTGCTTCAATTCTGAGGTATGCTCACTGTGATCTCTTGCCACAGAAACATCTCTCTTACCCCTTTGAGCACCTCTGCGTTTCTTGCCCTCACCTCTAGATCTCATCTTCAGCAATCCCACCCTCAGCTTTTTGCTGCCCTTGATGTAATCCTTGCCATTATGAATACAGTGAGCGGCTGTTAGAACGTGCTTGGGGGAAATAAGAATGCCACTGCAGCCTGTGGAAATCTTCACAGCTGTGCTAAAAGGGAAGTTGGTCATGAACCGCTTGTCAGAGATGCTGAATCTGCTGTCTGTGCCATATATCTGCCTCTTTCTTCTTGAGGACGTTCTTGTGGTGGCGTTCTTGGCTGCGTCAACTGCTAGCCCCAGAACATTCACATGAGTCAGGGTCCGTGTGCCATTCTCAAAAACAGTCTCATAGGACAGAAACTCCTTCAGGTCAGACAAGCTTGGCACTGGGAGTCTCCTTTGGCATTCAATTCCACACACATTACTCAGTTCTAATTTGGCTTTTGCCTCAAATTTAGGGCTGTCAAGGGAGAAAGTCCGTTCACTCACAATCTGGGGTACCTTCTTCAAGTGCCAGGTGAAATCTTGTTCTGTTTCGGCTCCATCAGTCAGACATAATATGGGAATGGAAAGCATCAATAACAGTAATATATGTCCCATTGTGTTATTGTGTGTTGCTCTGAAAAAGGGAGAATAGAGACTCAAATTGATATTTTAAAAATTAAATTTATCTGATTATATTGTATGACTACAGCACTATACAATATTACCATCAAAATCAGTGCGGTAGAATATTAGCATCCAGGTTACAAAAGAAACAGGAACTCATTGAATCTTCATTCATTTCCCTACATTTTGATCTTTATAATTCTACTTCTGTTATTCATTAAATAATAAATTACACCTAGATATCAATCATAACCCTCAAGAAGTATTTTAAGAAGCTAGCCCCATTTCCTTGATATTCTACTTTAATAACATGGCATGGTACTGATACATTTGAAATCCATCAACATCAGGCTTTGTAGTGTAGTGCCTTGTCTAATTTTGTTCTTGTGCTTGTGGCTGAAAACAATCATGACTGCAAAAATTCTGAAGATAATATGCAATAAATGGAGACCAACGTGTGCAAAATGTTATTTTAAAAGGCTGCATAAAAGTAAAATAGCTTGATTCAAATTAGTACTTTCTCCAAATGAAATTGTTCTTTATTGTATCATATCCAACAGTAGCAGCCTTTGGCCTAAGCAACCTATGCAGCCACATACCACGCATCCAACCAGAAAGACAGATGGCCATCCCCAATTCTGTCTGTTTCTGGTACCTGTTACAGTGAGTCACATTCATTCCTCAAATTGCCTGCTTGTGCTCTTGCTTGGAAGGATTTGCTTCAGCTCCATCCTCTGGCTTTCTAGTCTGTCAGAGGGACCCAAGAGCCACAAAGCTTCATACACAAAGGGTGAGTCACAAGAAAGTAGAAGATGGCTAATTTGGGGGAGAGGTTTCAGGGATTCATAGAGTAGGGAGGGCACAGTCATAGGTGGCAGAGGAGCTAGATGGGCCCCCAAAGCTATTTCCCTTTCAGATCTCTCACAAAACTGTTAATACATATTACAGTGGTGCCTGGAGGCCCCAGCTAAGATGCGAGACCCATTGTACCAGGTGCTGTTCATACACAAGATCTTACATTTAAATAGACAAGGAACACAAATTGAGTATTATTCTTGTTTTACAGATAGGGAACTAAGGCACAGAAAGACTAAGTGACTTGCCCAAGATCACACAGGAAGTCTGTAGCATAGCCAGGAGTGGCACTAAGCGCCTCCGAATCCCAGCCCAGGACCTTAATTGCAAGTCCATTCTAACTCCATAGATGGACTTGATGCTTAAAATATAAACCAGATATTGGCTGTTGCCATTTGGAGATTTGAGCTTATTCATGTACCCTTTGTACAGTTGGGTAATATTGAAACCTCAAGCACCTGTAGAAAGGGCACTGCCTATAATTAAACCTTAAGTTAAGCAATTTAAGCACGTGTATAGTTATCCTCTTTGGTTTACTGTAGTTACAGTGTAAACCTGGATAAAATGTCTGTTTTATATTACATATAATATAGTTTAGCAAATTATATATAGTTTAGCAAAATCTGAATCCTTTGTTATAGTGAAAATTAAAGGTAATAAAACAATGAATAAGGTTAGATAAAGTGATAAGGTGCAAAACAGTACCTTGTGAATAAAATTCAAAAAGTGATAGCTTTGCTTTAAAAAGCACAACATGAACCAATGAGTCCTATAATTTTTGGACAACTTGTTGTACCAGTTAGACTAAGATCTTAGCTAGAACAATTAGCACTCACCATCCTTTATTCAACTGTGAGCACCATGTCTAGCAGTGGAGTTTATTACTTCTACCACATTCAGAGGTGAGTCTATGGTCGTCTGTGTAATTTACAACATTTTCTAAGATCCTAAACTTGTGTGGTACACTAACTTTGATTCTTAATTAACTTACTTAGGGCAGAACTACACTACCGCAAGTTACAGTGACCTAAGTGCTGTCCACACCAGTGCTATGTCGGCGGGAGATGCTCTCCTGCTGACATAGCTTCCGCCTCTCGTGAAGGTGGAGTAATTATGCCGATGGGGAAACGCTCTTCCATTGGCATACAGCGTCTTCACAAGATGGGCTACAGTGGCGCAGCTGCATCAGTGCAGACCTGCCCTTCGATTCATGCCCACTTACCAATTTATTCTCCTTACAGATCTTCTAAATTTGGACCACTAAGTCTGAGGTAAAGAGAGTTAAAGTGGGCACGAAGGCAACTAACATAAGGGTATAAGAATATGAACTTTAAAGTAGGACAGATTCTGCTTTAAAGTACACAAAAAACTTTAAATGTCTGAAAGGATAAATATTACTGATATTAATGTGAAAAAAAAGTTTTAATGTCCTAAAATACCTGTTTAACAAGTAGTGAGGTGTTAAGAAAGCCAGTTGTTTTGTTGAACTTGTGAAACCTGTCAATATGCAAGACACATTCTTCCTAGAATTCCTCTTCTCTTTGAGCCTAATGACTGGCTCACAATTCAGAGTCCACATACATGATGTTTTCCTACAGCTAAGTGTCATAAATATTTAGGAATGTTCACTAATGCTAGTTTCATGCAGAGAGACTTGGGCATACCACTGCTGAAGTCTTTCCAGTAAGATGGTTGATGTTGTCCCAGCTGGAGCTATAACTAACTTCTCTCTCTATAGAGGCTTCCTACAATAAAATGGGTGGGGTGATGTAGCTCCCTGTAATCATCTCTAACACAACCACAAAGACCACATCAGCTCCTCCTGTTTGAAAGACTAGAATAGAATGCTTATTCCCCCTAAGGGCAGACTTTAGAAGTCAAGGATTTTGTCATTTATAATTAACCATTTTTTGTTTGCTATGAGTTGGAAATGATGTACTTTAAGAGAGTTGGAAGAAGCCTCTACCTAGAAAGCATTACAAACATAGAATTGCCATATCAGAGCAAACTAGGTGTTCTAGACAATGTTTTCTTTTATTGCTACACATGTTTAAAATTAGTAAGCAGAGAGATCTTAAACACTACACTGTTTTAAAGTAGGAAACAAAATGAAAGGGAGAGGGGAGTTTTAGTCCCCTGTGACAAATTCCAGCTTCTCTTCCCATTTATCAAACCCCCCAGCACAGTGATGAGGGCTCTCAGCTTGATCACCTTCAGCTGCACTTACAAGCCCCTCCAGCTTTCCCCACTTCAAACTCCCAACATCCCAAATACTTCTCCATCCCGCATAGCAAACTCTCCCAAACTCTACACTCAGGTCCCCCTTCAACAAGCTCCAATAACATATCTCACACTTCATACAATTCAAACACCCACAAGCAGATTTGTGGATCTGTCCCAAATTTCCCAGTAATTCATGCTTGGTTGTAATTCACTTGCTAATAGGATGGAAGAGAAGAAAAATGAAGCTCAAGTTCCTGGCAGGGTTTTTCCCTACAATGTCTGTTTAGTACAATCTGTGTCCTGGGGTTGTTGAAAAGGTATTTATCATTGGAGGGGTTTGCACAAGGACTAGGGCTCTAGTATCTCAAAAACAGATTTAAGCAATTTTCAGACCTCAAAGTGAGGAGCTGCTACTTTATCCTGGATAGAGGTGCATCTTTTTCCACCCAATTTTCCAAGGGGGAAAAAAACTGGAATGAACAGTTCAGGAAGAAAACTCACTGTTTTTTGGCAACTATCAACATAACCATAGATAGCATGTGAAAATCTCAAGATGAAAATGTTTAGGGGTAACAGCACCCGCTCCTCCAGACTCCAGAGAAGAAACCATTACTCTAGCAATGAGCTAAGACATAACAGTAAATCTCCATCCTGAATTCTGTCTGCCACTTCATCCTAAACTTGTGCTGATATGCTTGATGAGTGCATTAGTTTACATATCTGACCTTCCATTCTGATTTAAGAAAAAACAGACCTATTCTGAGATATTGTAAATTTAGGTATGGGTATAGTGCACAAGCATAGAAACTAATTTTACAAAATATGTATCAAAGCACAAGGCAGGGCTCTGAAATCACAAACTAAACCTACTTCAGCTGCAAAAATGAATTAATGATAGTTTCAGCCTTAATTTTGACTTTCCTTATTGCTTAAATTTATATGTCTGTATATTAAGTATCAGGGGCTAACTGTGTAGGTCTGTATCCACAAAAACAACAAGGAGTACGATGGAACCTCAAAGACTACCCGATTTATTTGGGCATAAGCTTTCGTGGGTAAAAAACACTTTTTTTACCCACGAAAGCTTATGCCCAAATAAATCCGTTAGTCTTTAAGGTGCCACTGGACTCCTTGTTATGCCTGTGTATATATATGTAGCCACTAGATGGCAGAATTAGAGCAATTCTCTTACATGCGCTTTAAACGCACTCTTGCTAAATATTTTATCTTTCAATGCAGTGTAATATGCATTATAAAACAGCTTTTATTAAGGATAATTATCCGCAATTTATTCCTAGACTGAACTATAAATTAAATTTTAGTTTAGGCTGTAAACTCTGATGTAGGAATCTGTCGTTTTTCAGTTGTCTGTAAAGAGCCGTGCCCATTGTACGAATAGTCTCTCATACACCTCTTTCAGGTGGAAAAGATACATTTACCATATGAACTGTCTTGAGAAAATGACAGTTGATAAGATTGCCTGAAGACACTGCTGTGGCAAGTGCTTTCACAACACACCTCAGTTCTGACCCATACCATCGCTAGTTCATTCCGGCTTAGTTTTCCCAGTAATCAGGCATGGTTGTTTTGTGATAACACCTATTCCACTAGAGAATGAAATGCTCTTACATATCTTCCCCCAACCTCAAGTGTGCCTCTCACTGTCCCGAATGTTTCTCTCCAGCGAGACACAAATGCATACAATTATTGGTGAACTGTGAGTGCTAAACTAAGCTAGAGGAACAGCTCAATTTTCCACTTTAACAAACATGTTATTTTTACTTTGTATAGCTCCCAAAGCTTGCCGCGCACTTTATCGACAGATACCATTTCTTTCCAGACAGTGCTATGCCCACTATTTTCTTCCCTTACTTTTCAAGGATGAGAGAAAGAAAGCATGTTTGTCAAGCAACTTTTGTTCGTTTTGGAGGATGGTTTGAACAGCTCCTAAAATTAGCGCTCTGTCATTAATAAGCATCTTTCACTTCCCAGTGAAATGAGAGTTGTAGAAGCCAAGAAACTCCCTTTTAAAGTTGCTGTTAGCAGTTACTTTCACTTCCAGTTAGTTTATTTTATCCACCCCCATCCCTAGGAATGAGCTGTTCTATTCTCAGCAGTCTGTTAAATTCTTTGACTGCAGTGCAACTAGCCTGCCTATTTATCGATACTGATCAGCTTTGCCTGTTTACCAGATTGAAGTCTAGTAACTATACAATTATCTGCAATAATACCCTCTTGTGTACAATTACTACATGCTCTCTGTAATGTACTGAGCCTGCATATCAGGGTATTGGGCACAGACAGAAGAATTAGACATAGATGGATGAATTACCCCAGCATTATCAGGAACAGAAGCAGTGTTATCTCAAACATTTTTTTTCTAATCATTTTTATGGACATATATATCTCAATAGATAGTTCCTTAAATGCGATCCTAGAGTTGTCTAAAAGAAAGAAAATAGTTTTTAGCCTAGTGTTTTAGGAGAGAGAGAGAGAGAGATCCCAGCTTTCTAAAACAAAATAATCAGTTTTCAAATTTAAATACCTGCTGCCTTTACTTTTTCCATTTCTCTTGCAGATGAACTCGTTTTATAAAAAGGACTCCAGAGGCTGAAAATTAAATAAAAAGCTTAGCAGAGATTTTTGTAGCTCCTCACTGCCAGAAGCAATCTGGATAAAATTAGTGTCAATTTCAAAACATGTGAGGAATGGTAGCATAGAAACTGAGCAGATGAAGCGGGATGGGTGGGGGAAGTCGCAAAAAAAGGCTCTCTCAATAGGCACTGCTGGGACTGTACAAAGGCAAAAGTATGAAAACTTCTAAAGTAAGCCTTTTCTTTCTATCTGTTTTTAAGCCACCCATGTGGAACAAGACTCTTGAAAAGTACCAGGGGAAAAAAAGTGTCACAGTTCACTCTAGCCAAGAATACTTTCATCAGACTGGTCAGGCTATTCAGAAAAAGCTACTTTTAGTGTAAAATCCTGTAACTGGCCAAAACTTATTTATTGACATCTCATCAATTGTATCTATTTGTAAACGCTGCTGTAACAGAGAGGACCTCATTTGTGGTCCAGTGTAAACACGGTCACCTTAATAGATTTGTGTGTGTGTGAACAGCGTATCTACCTTTTCCAGCTGAGGCTCCAAGCAGCTATTCCGTAAACTCCAGCTCTCAGATCTTAAACAAAAAAGTCCGTTCAGCATTTTTGTGGTACAAGTAAGAGGTCTCAGGTGCAGCCCGCATTTTAGCGTGCCTGTTTGCTTTTAAAGCAGGCAGGCCCCCGCGAGTTTATTCCTAGCTCAGAAGGCACTAGATAGGAACATCATTGGAAAGACCGTTTCATACCTGTTAGCATTCGAGAGAAAGGTGAAAACCTGGCCAAATCCACGGCTCCTAAAACTTTCTACGCGGACACGCAATAGGTGCTCTACTCTTATTTAGTTAATAATCCGTATTTGCCAGCTGGTTCCCAATTTAGTGAGCGAGAGATCGCCACCGCCAGCCAGCCCCAGAGAGAGCAACAGCAGCAGCCACTGAGCACAGTCTGAGCCCTGGCGGCTACTGAAAAAGGGACTGGGGGGAGCTGCCAGGTTTTTCCCAGGCGGGGGAGGGGATGGAAAGGAGGAGGGAGGGATGGAGGGAGAGGGAGGTCGGCCCGAGGGTGAGCTGCTGGGACCGCTTGCGGGTGTCTCTGTGGCTGGGAGGGGAAGGAAAAGGGCTGGCGGGATGAGCTGGAACAGCTGGCTGGAGGGGAAGGCGGGAGAGGGCGGCAGAGGTACACGCTG